GCTTGGAAAGGTCTGGGTCAGCCAAAGATAGGAAGATTCTCGATGAGATGAATTGGCACAGTGACTGCAGCAATGGGCTTATGTGTCAGAGATAAGGATGGCACAGGATACGACAGGGCTCAGGTCTGTTGTTTATATGGTCATTATGGGTCATACTCAACTGCATGGCACCTAACAACAACACAAGATATGTTTTCAAACCTCTCAAACTCATTGCTGTAGAGCAGAACAGACCCAGGACTGGTTCTCCATTGGATTTCTGAGGCTGTACATTGCATGGGAGAAGCTAGCCTCTCTTTCTCCCACTGAGCCATTGGCAGATTCGAACCAGTAGAAAGTTATAACTTTTGGGTTAGCCGCACAATTCTCCAGAGAGTATCCCACCAGGCCCCCTATCCAAGCAATACCAAGTCAGAATCAACATTTTAGTAGGCTTCCTAGATAATTGTTATAGATTCTTAGGTGATTCTTAGATATATGTATACATGTGAACCACCTCGGGGGTCTTGTTAACAAATTCTGACTCAATGATTCCGAATATGGACTGTCATTTCCAAGGTAATCTTCCTCACTCATCAGCTTCTTTAATTCTCAAAGGGAATATGATGAAGACACAAAACCCAAAGTTGTATACAGGAAGTGAACGAATCAATAGGTGTCTGCTTTGGGCATGTGTCTCTTGAACCAACCGTGAGGCAGAGAGAAATATGCACCACAGTGGATAAGAGTCTGCTTGGAGCTCTGACTTAGTAGACAGCACAGCATTTTGCTTCTCAGCCCTGTAATCAACTCGGCAATTGAAAAACAACACCCACCTCCATCAGGATTTCAATTCCTGAGACCCCAGTTCAATGACCTGAGATGGAGTCAGCCACAGGTAGATTTTAGGGTTCGTTTGGTGTTGCTCATGAGTCAGCACCACCACCAATAGGGCTTAGGAAACAGGGAACTAGGGAGAAACAATCACATTTGACCTTTGATGTAAGTGAATTTCATGGAGAGCTTTACAGTCTATTTCTATTGGGATCTAGCTCCTGAGAGTCAGATTAAAAACTCTGGGGACCTCTAAAATCTCTGCAGGTGGTTGAAATGTGCAGCCAAGCTGGAGATCTGTTAGCTAGAAAGGGTTTCCTGCTGGTGGGTTTTTGTTCAGGTGCCTGCCTGCCCTGGGCCTTGGTTTGAACCAGTGATTCAGTGGGAAACACTTTGTCTTGAATCAAGAGCCTATATTTAAGCCTCAGATTTGTCACAGACTTACTATAGGAACTTGAGTGTGGCATGAACACAAACTCTCAGCTTCCTGTGGTTCTCTGTCACAGAGCTAAGAATGACCTAAAAGCATTTGCAACCGTATTAACCTGCATTTATACAACTACAGAAATGCTGGTGGTGCAGTGTTAAATGTTCAGCTTCTAACCCAAAGAAAGGTTGGTAGTTTGAACCCACCAGCCACCTCTTCTTAGGAGAGAGATGTAAACAGCCTTAGAAATCCTATAGAGTGGTCTCCTCTGCTATAGGTCACGCTATGGGTCATAACTGAGTCCACAGCAGTAGGTTTAAACAAGTACAGATACTCTCAATTCAATTCTCCGTGCCGTCAAGTCAGAACCAACACAGAGCTGACCTTCCAGCAGGTGTTTGGAGGCTGTAGGCTGCCCGGGAAGAGATTGCCCATCTTTCTCTCACAGAGCAGCGGGTGGACTTGAACTTCCAGAGAGATGCAACTATTCAGTTAGCAGCAAACCTTTCTATTGACTAGGCCACCGGAGCATCTTCTGTCTAAATAATAATAATAATAATAATAATAATAATAATAATAATAATAATAAATAGTAATATTTATTATTATCATCACCACCCAAGGGGGCGCTAGTGGCCTAGTCTATAAGGAGTTGTGCTGTTAACCCAAGGCTGTGCATCTCTGGTGGTTCAAATTCAGCAGTAGCTCCAAGAGAGAAGAATGGGCAACTTCCCTCTTACAGGACTGACAGCCTCAGAGTCTCAGTGAAGGGTCAGCTATGCCTTGCCTGCTTGGAAGGGAAGCAAATACCGTAGGAAAGGTCCTAACCAGTGGACGACCGCAATAACGATGATGTGATGTTAAGGTGTAGTTCTCTGTCCGTCCGTTTTCTTGATCCTCGCCCTAGACTGCTGCTACTGTTGTGTACCGTTGAGTCAGAACCAACTCATCACTGCTTCTCCAGTGCGTTTTAAGAGGCTGTAAATCATATGGAAGGTAACTGCCCATTTTTCTCCTATGAAGCAGCTGGTGAGTCCTGATTGACTGCGTTTGGATCAGCGGCACAGGTCTTTATCATTAGGCCACCAAAGTCCCCTTCACCGTAGACACAAATATGTAATTATGAAGTCCCAGTATGGAAAAGGGAGCTCTGGTGGCCAAGTGGCAAAAAGCTGTACTACAATCCCAGAGGTGCGCAGTTCAAATCCACCCGATGCTCTGCTGAAGAAGGAGGGGAATCTCCTCCTGTTCCAGTCAGATCTGATTTGATGGTACACACACACACCAAAAAAAAAAAAAAAAGAAAGAAAAGAAAAGAAAAAAAGAAAAGGGAGCCCTGGTGGTCCAGTGACAAGAAGATATGCGGTTCGAGACCACCCACTCTATGGGAGATGGATGGGAAATGTCCTTCCGTGTGATTAACTACTTCTGAAAACCCACTGGAGGGCTATTTATGGGTCAGGTCGGACTCGAAGGTACACACAACAATATGGAAAAGAGAGAGTGAAGACCAGGAAAGGTTATATTTGCAGCACATGCATAATGTGGGTTTGCTGTGAGCACCATTTTGGTTAAAGACACAAAAGGTACACTCTGTTCTGCTAATCTGAGACCCTATGGTTTTTTCCATTATCCCTAGTGGTTTGCAAAAGATGAAGCAGGTGGGAGAGGGAGGGCCTGAGAAGTCTGGCTTCTAACTTTCTCCAGGTGATGAGGCTAGGAGTCCAGGGACCACATTTTCAGATCCAGTGAACTACAGCAAACTACCTTTGATAGTAAAGAATCATCCTGATGAATGATTCAATTGCCATTATGGAAAAAAGAAGGGGAAATGGAAAAATATATGAGCAATTTATGTGTCCAACGGCTGGCAAAAGGTCAATGCTTTGAACTGACAAGTTGCTCCACAGGAGAAATAGTTACAAAAATGTACAGTCTTGGAAGCCCCAGAAGGCAGTCCTAGCCTCCTGCAGAGTCACCATGAGTCAGAACCAACTCTAGGACAGTGGTTTGGCTTCCTCATTTGTCTGTACAGCAGCCCCACGTGTCACAAAGTAGAACTTGGGATTTCCACGGCTGGGATCTTTTGGGAGTACTTTGCCTGGCATTTTTGCTGAGGACCCTGTGGATTGGCTCAAACCATCACCAGTTAGTAGTCAAGCACTTAACTATTTGCACATCTCAAACCATTTTTACGTTAAACATACAAGAAATCTGGCTTGGGCTACAAGGTAAAATATCCTATTAAAACCATATAGTAAGTATTACCTCTTCTTATTAACCAGGTTTGGGGGAAGGAAGTTAAGAGATGGGAGGGCCTTTCCTGGCTAGAGAAAACCTCAGGGGAAACTTTGCTGCCACAGATTTATGTACAGTTAAGCACTCAGATTCTGGAGTCAGAGGGGCTTGGATATGAGCCCCGTTTGTTAACCCTAAGGGAACTCTGGTGACCTAGTGCTGAGGACTGGCACAGGTAACCCAAAGGCACATGGTTCGAATCTACCAGCTGCTCCATGGAAGAAAGATGGACAATCTCCTCCACGCAATTTACAGCCTCTGAAAACCTGCTGGAGGGTCATCTATGAGTCAGTTCCAAATTAATGGCTCATAACAACATTAACCATAAGAAGCTCTGGTAGAGTGGTGCATTATGTATTACACTGCCAACCTAAAGGTCAGTTGTTTGAATACACCAGCTTCTTCTCAGGAGAAAAAAAAAAAAGGGGGATAGTCTCCTCCCATTAAGATACACAGCCTCAGAAAATTGACGGAGGGTGACTAGGAATCCGAATCAGCTGGAGATCAATGGGTTGGATTTTAGGGTGATATTAGGAAAACGAGTTGGGACACACTAAGTGGCAATGGTGGTTTGGATGTTTTATTAGATCTGTGACTTGGGGCAAATCAGTACAAATCTCTAAACAACCATTTAATTATCTGTAAAATTATGGTAATATTAGTACCTAGCTCACAGGATTGCTGTGAGAGCATTTAATAAGACAATGAATGTGAAACACATAATTTGCCTGACATGGATTAAGCATCCAGGAAAGAATAGGTGTTATTTACAATCATGGCTGTTAATAGGATCTCTATCCAAACCACTGTCACTACCAGCAAGTATTAGCATGCAATGTTGTTCAGAACAAGCACTTCCTTCTCATGTAGAAAGAAGCTCCCTGTGCTTCTTAAAAGTACAGAATGGCATGCATTTCTCAAGGTCAAGTAAATGAAAGTGGATACTCCTCAGGGACTGTTCTAATGACCTTGAGTTCAGCGGAGATAAGTGATGGTGTCACCAAGTCATTGTTGAGGGAATTGATCATCTCAGTGCTTGTTGGCTATTTTTTTCCCTTCCTTCTTCTAAGAGTGGCCAAGCGTTCTTGTTTGTCCAGAACTATCCTGTTTTTAACATCCAGGGACGTTCCTAAGTCTCAGGCCAACTTAGTCAGTTGGTTTTTCCACCTCTTCGCACACCCAGCGGAATACACTTTGTTGCTGGTGTTAGCTGTCATCAAGTCCATGTCAAGCCAAGACCCCAAGTACAACAAACGGAACGAAATACTGCCCAGTGCTCCAACTTCACAATCATGGGAAGTTCAAAGTCCATTGTTATAGCTACTGTGGTCTCAGAGCGCCTTCCAATCTACAGGGCTCCCCTCCCAGGACAATGTTGTTGTGGTGGTGGTGTGCCATAAATGGAGCTGACTCATACTCATAGCTGACCTTCCAGTGGGTTTTCAGAGACAGGTGTTTGCACAAGAGACTGCCTATCTCTCTCGCACAGAGCAGCTAGTAGACTCAACTTGGAGATATACCAGTTTGGTCCATTCCATAGAGATTTTAGGGCTCAATTTTCAATAGTAGATTGCCAGGACTTTCTTCCTACTCTGCCTTAGTCTATAAACTCTATTAAAACCATGAATGACCTGCTGATATTTGCAATATGGTGGCATAGCTTTCAGGATCAAAGCAGTACATAAGTCACCACAGTGTGATAAACTGATGGATGAGTGGTGGGCAAACTCTTTAGTAAGAAGAGTATCTCAATCTTGATCAATGATAACCATACTTTAATGGTAATGAGCAAAATAAGAACCTGCAGTCCTACTCTAAGCAAATGAATAAATGAATTACAGCCCTAATTGTTTGTCGGTCCTTTTCTTCCATTTTCCTTTGAAGGAAGAAACCTGGATGCATTTATTTAAGGGTACAGGATGGTTATCAACTAAAGAAAGTCCTAGCTTAACAAATGTATACTTCAGTAGAAAGAACAACAACATCAAAAAATACTCATCACTATCTAGTGAGAAGCAACTTACAGCTGACTCTCTGTAGCTTTTCAGAGACTATATCACATGGAAAGAAAGCGTTTCTTTGTCCAGTGGAGCCACTGGTAGATTTACACCTCCAGAGAGGCTTGGATTTGGGTTAACTGCTCAGTTCTCTACAGACTCCATCAGAGCAGAAGGCCAGAAGTAATTACCAGCAGGGAGAGATTTGTGCTTAGAGGTGAGATTTAGGACAATCCTTCTGGACGGAAGCCATGGAATCATAGACTTGGAATACACAGACTACAAACCTGCTTTCCTAGAATCAAAATCACCAAGCTCAGGGCTCACAAAATCACAACCTGCCAGAGGCCAAATTCAGCCCACCCTCGATTTTTGTAAATAAAGTTTTATTGGAGTGCAAATGTTCACATTTGTTTATACACGATCTTCAGCTATTTTCATGATATATCAGAACTAGTAGTTGTAAACAAAAAACCCACATGGTTTACAAAACCCAGAAATACCCTCTACCTGGAGCACTCCAGACCTAACTTGTGACTCTTCGAAGTGTGTTCTATAAAGCTCCCTATGTCCTAGAACTTTGTTAGAGAAATGTAAGACTGACTCCAAATTATTTAAATCCAAATACGTATTTTAGCAAGATCCTCCAGGTGATTCAAATGCACATGAGCGTTTGAGTAGCACAGACTGAAAGGACTTTCTAAATTATACATGCCTTGACCTACAGATTCTGCACACCAATTCCCAACTCCACTATCCCTACCCACACAGGCAAGGAGAATCTCTTGGAAAGCCCTTTGTACCAGGAGTCTGTGAGATAAGACATAGGATGTCCATCCAATTAAAGTAAAAAAATTAGAATCTTGAGTAAATAACAGATGATTTTTTTAAAATATAAAAATGTACCATATATATGCATGGGACATACATTGTTTATCTGAAACTCAAATTTGACTGAATCGCTGCCTTTTTATTTGCCAAATATTGCAGTCTTACCAAATGGAAGACTTCATACAGATTAATGAGGCAAAGTAAATTTAAAGTTATTATGCTTCCTAGGACAATTTGCAAATAAAAATATATATGGCTTCCAGTCATCCTTCCTCTCATCACTCTTCACACACGAAATTCTTCCCACCACAAGAACAAAATTCTCCTTCCCATCATACAGTCAGTTTAAAGACCAAGGTGTGCTCAACCTAAGCCATGACATTTTCAATTCTTTCAAATGCTTATGAAAGTCGAGCAATGCATAAGCAAGAACGTAGAAGAACTGACACCATGGAATGATGGTGTTGGAGAAGAGTATTGCATATCCCATGGACTTCCCGAAGAACAAACCAAACTGTTTTGGAACAAGTGCAGCCAAGGACTCCTTAGAGGAAAGGATGGTGAGACTCTGTCTCACACATACTGAACATGTTATCAGGAGGGACAGGTGACAGAAGCCAGAGAAAGAACAAAGGGATGGGGGGACACGGGCCCACCGAAGAAGCAAGAAATGAGACAAAGTGGCAGCTAGCGGTGCCATTAGTGCACATCAACAACCACCCAGTCAGCAAGGGCCAGTGAGGTTGCACCAGAATGCCCAACACTGCAGAAGGTTTAAGATTCAAACAGAACCAGGAAGTACCAAGACCAATACAATCATGGCCCTAGAAGGGGACATCATCTACTCTCTCCTCAAGAGGCAGGCTCACTTTTGTCTTCTGAGAGTGGCTCCTTTTCTTCATAAACTTCCCTCTGCCTATAAATATCCCTGTGCCTGTGTTGTATATTCTTTCTTCACTCTTGCAATATTCATTTCAGGAGGTCACCTTGCTAGATTGTGCCAGGCTAATGTATCAGGTCTGGGAACCTCCACGTACCCTAACAATCAGTTCTCGGGAAAAGGCACAATCCTTTTGAGGGGGAGTGAGGGGAGGAATAGAAGGTAAGGAAAGGAGAGAAAGAGCTTCAAAGAGCTGCACTGACACAGGCATGGGCAGAAGCACAGCAGAGATTGTGAGAAAGGTAGGGCAAGGTTTCTGACGACTGTGCATAGGGTTACAATGAGGCAGAGTTGGCTCCACAGCTCCTTACCCTTCCTTAAATGCAGAATGGTCTTTATACTTGCTTTGACCAACAGGAAGAGGCATAAGTGATGCTCTATTACTTAGAAGTTGAGACGTAAGAGTCTTGACAATGCCTATTGTCATCCTCCGGAAACCCGCCACAGTGTGATAAATACCTCCCACCTGTCCTGCTGGAGAGAGAGGCCCAGGAAGAGGGCATACCACTTCAACCACCATCAAGGTTTCAATTGTGTACAAGAAGCCTTCTTATCTCTCCTTTCTGGCCTACCTGACAGAGGAAAGTGTCTCTTTAAGGACCCTAACTACAGCCCTTGAGCCAGAAATGCTAGATCAACCTACAAGTCCCACAAGGATAAATATTGTATAAAACCATCATTGTAGAATGAGTATAAGGATCCAAGAGGGGTGGGAGAGGCTGGAAGCAGAGGGATGTGGATGAGTGGGGGTGGGGGGGGAGGATTAATCATCAGGTTGTACAATTGGATGGTGGGGGGGTTGAGGGAAATTGAAAGAATTTTTTCTTGAAAACAATGTATTAGAATTTTGTAAATAAACTAGTAGAAAACTTTTTTAAAAAATGAGAAAGAACACATGGTTGCTGACAGCTACCTTTCAGTTGTTGCTATTGTTGTTGTTATTATTATGTGCCATCAAATCACCTGTAACTCATAGTAACCTTATGCACAATAGCTCCAAACCCTGCCCTATCCTGGGCCAACCTCACGGTTTCTGACACACCTGCCCCATTGTCCCAGTCACTATGTCAATCCATCTCATGCAGAGTCTTCCTCTCCTGATCTGAACCCGTACCCTTCCAAGCGTAATGTCCTTCTCCAAGGACCAGACTCTCCTGGCAACATGTCCAGAGTATGTGGGATGAAGCTTCAAGATCTTTTCCTCCAGAGAGCAACTTGGTTTCACCCTCCCTAGCATAGACCTGTTTGTTCCCTTGGCAGTTGATGGTATATTCAACACTCTGCTCCAGCAACATGACTCAAAAGCACCAATTCTTCTGCTGTCATGATTTTTCATTATCCAGCTCTCTGACACATAACAAGTAATTGCAAAGATCATGGCCTAGATCAGGCGCACCTTTGTCTCTAGACTGACATTGTTGTACTTCAGCACTCTGGAAAGATCTCTGACAGCAGACTTTCTCAATCCAATTCTTCTTTTGATTTCTTGGGTGCTGGTTCTAAGAATATGAACTGTGGGCTGAAATTGTTGACCTTCTCAGTCTCTTCTCCATCTATCATGAAGCTTCCAATAGGCTCACTGGTAAGAATTTTTGTTTTCTTGATGTTGAGTTTCAATCCATATTGAAGCCTGCAGTCCTTGACTTTTCATCTGCTCTTTTGGGTGGAATACTTGTCTGTCTGTCTGATATTGCTCTAAAGCTAGGCATTCAAAGTAAGATAGACTAGAGGGGAGGCTTAGGCACCCACTTCCAAAATAGCAGGCCTATGTACAATAGAGCACAGTTAGATTAGACTAACAGATATGGAGCTGGAAGCCAAGGCCTCCTACTGGGAAACTCAAAGGAGGAGAAACAGTTTCAAGCAGACACTGGTGATTGGAACATGAAATGTGAGTAGTATAAATGTAGGAAAATTGGATATTGTTAAGAAAGAAATGGAGCACATTAATATTGACATACTAGGCATTGCCGAACTGAGATGAATTGGCTGGGGACATTTTGAATTAGATAATCATATGATCGACTACTACACTGGAAATGAAAACGAAAAGGCAAGGAGAAATGAGGTTGCATTCATAGTCAAGAAGACCAGATCTATAGTCAAAAATCTTTTAGTTACGCAGCAATAAATACCTGAGACACTTCCCCTGCCCCAAATTAAATACTTGACTTTACAACCAAGGATCCCCTAGTGTAAGGTTGTATCTGACAAAGGAAACAGCCATCGTCCAGTCAAAAGACCCAACAGGATTTGGCCGGTCATCTGAAGAAAGGTTACCCTCTCACCTCCACCCAAGGTCCTGGAGGAGGCCGCTCTGTGGCCCGCCAAGTTGGCGGAGGGTTTTCTCAGTTGTACTCTAGGCTTGCAGCTGAGAACCAAGCTTCTGAAAAGCTAATATTTTCAAGGCAAACTTCTCTCCCAAGGGTCAGTGCAATTCATTAGCTGCTACCTGCTTTGTAAGCCCTGAACAGCTTTCCACCACCTACTTTCTCATTCTCTGTGTCTCTTTCCAACGAGCTGATGCTGCCGGCAGAATACAACCTGCTGTCTTTCTAGTTACTGAATCTTCTGAGTTTAGAGGGAGAGTCTAAAACTGTCTTCCTACCTACCTCCCTTCAAGCATTCCCTCCCTGCATTTCTGCTCCCTTTGCTGAAGGCTTTTCAACAGTGTTTCATCTCACTGCCTTCCTCTAATTTCTTCTTCTTCAC